GACGGCAAGGTGTGAGGACCACGAGAGCCCAGTAGTTTGTGACCACCCAGTAGTTTGTGAATATTTCTACAAAAAGTTTTAAAAATTAGCTCAGCATGGTGGTACACACCTGTAGTCTCAGCCGCTCAGGAAGCTGAGGTGAGGGGATTGCTTGAACCCGGGAGATCGAGGCTGCAGTGAACTGTGATTTGTGCCACTGCATTCCAGCCTGGATGGCAGAGCAAGACCCTATCTCTTGAAAAAAAAGTCTCACCCTGGCTCTGTAGGACCTTTTGTGACCAGAAATAAGAAGCCCAAAAGCTGAAGTGGGAAGACATGGAACTGAAATCCCTATGTGTACTGGGGGAATTGGGTTGTCACAGTCATTAACAATCTAGCATTGTTTTTGCTTGATGGTTTGGGGTATATTTGTGAGTGCCGATACTACTGGGAATAAAAAAGGAATAGATTATGCATTTCTGGCTATTCCAGGAAACATTGGATGAATACATGACTATTGAAGGTGCATATGGAACATGTGTTGAGGTTTTGCTTTCTCATCTGTGTGAAGCCGAGAAAGTGCTCGTTGTGGCCTACCTTATATACCTAAACCATACATTAAAAACTAAAGGCCAAGCAAATTTAAATTAGAACTAGAAAGGAACAAGAATGGTTGAGGTTTCAGTGTGACTTGAATTAGTAAGATATGTTTCTTTACATTTTCCAAGTCATCCTTTGAAAATCTGAGGAAAACTGTAGACTTGAGCAAAATGGACCCATGCTTGCAATTTTGCATCAATTCAGAAAGTCAATTCCAGGGGTAACTGAAGCTCATCCTCAGGTCCAGGTGAGGAACTCATCTGTCTTACACCAGTCCCCCAAGTTTGCCTGATAACAGGAGTCAGCTGTGGGACACTTGTTAAACTGCAATTCCTGGGTTTCAACCCACACCTACTGAGTCAGAAGCCAGGGAAAATACCTGGTAACATTGTTACTGGAAAAGGGTCCTGATCCAGACCCCAAGAGAGGGTTCTTGGATCTCGTGCAAGAAAGAATTCAGGGCAAGTCCACAGAGTAAAGTGAAAACAAGTTTATTAGTAAAGGAATCAAAGAATGGCTACTCCATAGAGTGGCCTTGAAGGCTGCTGGTTGCCTTTTTTATGTTTTTTTTATGATATGCTAAACAAGTGGTGGATTATTCATACCTCCCTTTTTAGACCATATAGGATAATTTCCTGACATTGCCATGGCATTTGTAAACTATCGTGGCACTGGTGGGAGTGTAGCATTGAGGACGACCAGGGGTCACTCTCACGTGCATCTTGGGTTTGCTGTTTTGGCTGGCTTCTTTAGTGCAACCTGTTTTATCTGCAAGGTCTTTATGACCTGTATTTTGTGCTGACCTCCTATCTCGTGACTTAGAATGCCTTAACCACCTGGGAATGCAGCCCGGTAGGTCTCAGCCTCCTTTTTACCTACCTCCTATTTAAGATGGAGTTGCTCTGGTTCACATGCCTCTGACAACATTGAACAATTGCTCTAGAGCAGCACTGTTCACTAGTGATATGAGCCTCAAATGCAAGGCATGTATGTAATTTTAAATTTTCTAGTAGCCCCATGGAAAAAGTAAAGAGACATACATTAAATTAATTTTAATAACATGTAACCCAGTTATATCCAAAATATTTCAACATGTAATCAGTATTTTTAAAACAAAACAGATATTTTACATTTTTTTTTTTGTAGTTGTCTTCAAATTCCAGTGTGCATTTTACACCTACAGCCCATCTCAGTTTGGACCAGACACATTTCAAGAGCTCAGACAGCCACCTGAGTGGCTAGTGGCTGCTGTGTTGGACACGCAGGTCTAGAGCAGCTGTTACTTAGCAATGGTTTAGCGTTTCTTTGGGTCCTGATGAATGATGAAGTCATCACTCTTATACTGCAGGTGTCTGCCTCACCTGAAAACAGATAAACCCAAATTTTAGGTTTAAGTTTGCAGCTTGGCCTCATCTTTGCATCTTTAAATAAATGAGCATCATAGTTCTTTCCAGGGGTTTCTCCCAGGAGTTCACTCCCTTTCCCTTCTGGAGGCCAGGCAATTCTGAGCTCCCAGCAATGACTACTCCCCACCCCTGCCACACCCCAAGCTGGGGTTGGACTGGGTCTGAGAGATCCTCTTCTGCCCTCCTGTGGTTCTGTCCTCCTTTGGAGCCTGCCAGAACCAGAAAGTTCCCTCTGGTCCCCTGTGGGCCTGGGTGCTGAGAAAGGAAGGTGGAAGGGCTGGGATTTCCATTCTCCCTGTTTGCTAAGTGTGGATAGATTGGGAGAGGCAGGGGATTTGACTGCTGTAGGTAGCATCCCAGAGTTTTTGTTGTGAATTTCTTATTGAGTTTGTGGTTACATTTTTAACTCTTCAGTTTTCTTTTTTCCTTTTTTACACTATTAACATAAGAACGAAAGATAAAGGCTCTAAACGATAACAAAATACAGGGCAAATAATCCTCCTCCCCTCTTTTTAGTTGGAGTCCCTAGTTTCTCTCCGCTGGAGGAGGGCTGCTATGAAGGCTGAGGAAGTGTTGGGGGGTGGGTGGGGAGGAAGGGAGCCCCCTTCCTACAACACCATCCTCGCCACTGGTAGGAAATGCTACTACTCTCCATTGCCAGGAGGAAATGCAGCCAGATCCAAGATGTTGCAGCTGCTAGGGCCCAGGAGAAACACGTTCCTTCAGGCTTAGCAGAGACGAGTGGGAAGACTCACCGAAAAATGAGTTCTGGGCAGAGGGCTAGTTGCTAGACTTCCCTTAAAGATCCTGCCCCTTCCATCCTCTCTCCAAAAGCAGTCCTGAATTTTATGTTGTAATTCCTTTCTTCATTGATCAGTTTGGAGGGCTTGACTTACCAAGCTCTTTAGCTACTCGTAGTGGCTAAATGCAGAAATGTAAAAGATTAGATACATAAAAAGCCAGGAAAGGAGAACCAGGGTCTGAACCATTTGGGCATCAGAAAGAAGCCTTCTACCCCAAGGGCACATTCGCATGCCCTTCCTGCACGACTCTAACTCACACTTTACACAAAACATACACAAGTGTAAAAATATCAGGCAGTGCATAAGTGAGTGAAGTAGAAAATGAAAGCCTCCCAGAAACCCCATTGCATGGGTTAAGCATTGTTGTTTGTGTTTAGCCTTCTAGTCTCTTGTTGGTGTCAGATATTTACACTTAGCTTTTCAGTTTTTACAAAAATAGCATCTTTAGAACTCACCCTTTTCACTTAATGTATCAGATATCCCCCCACGGCAGTGCATGACCATCTGCCATTTTTTTAATGAGATGGTCTTACTGTCACCCAAGCTGGAATGCAGTGGCGTGATCATGGCTCACTGCAGTCTCAACCTCCTGGGCTCAAGTGATCCTCCCACCTCAGCCTCCTGAGTAGCTGGGACTATAGGCATGAGTCATCATATCTGGCTAAGTTTTGTATGTTTTGTAGACAGGTTTTCACCATGTTGCCCAGGCTGGTCTTGAATTTCTGAGCTCAAGTAATCCACACTCCTTGGCCTCCTAAAGTGCTGAGATTACAGGCATGAGCCACTGCCCCCAGCCTTCCACCTGCATTTAAAAAATATTTTTAAGCAGAACATTTCAGTAGCATGGGTAGGCCTTGATTAACCAGTCCCCTGGTTGTCCCATTCTTTATTAGGAATCATTGTAACCAATGCCAAAGTGAATCCAACTGTAAGTGATTTGTCTTTAGGAACTTGTGCTTCTAAATTTACCTCTGTAAATTCCTAGTTGCTTAGTCACGAGATATGTTCATTATTATTTGGCTAAATCCTACCCAACTGTCTTATAAATTAAACACGCTAACTTACATTCTACATTCAGTGAGTCCTTTTCAGAGGAATTCCTTCCCTAAACCCTGGTTTCTCAATATGTCCCAAAGAATTGTTCTAAAGCTGTTTTAACAGTCACTAGAAGCTGTCACCCCGGCACGGTGCTCGGCACTGGGGGTGCATTGGGGAACCAAACCAAGTAAGGTTCTTACCACTCTAGAACCCGATGTGCCCATGAGGGAGCCTGATAGCTCCAATACTTAATACGGTGACATACTGCTGAGTGCTGAGTGTGATACTAAGTGGAGTAACACTGTGCAGGTGATGGGGACCTTGGAAGGGAAGCAGGGTAGTTAGGAAGGCACTGATTAGTTTTTCCCTGCTAGGTCCTGTGGGAATTACAGTAAGGCAATGAGGTGACTGGACGGAAGCAGGGTAGTTAGGAAGGCACTGATTAGTTTTTCCCTGCTAGGTCCTGTGGGAATTACAGTAAGGCAATGAGGTGACTGGACACAGGAAACCTCTCTGAACTGACTCTAAGTCAGTTAGTTTGGGTTACCAAAGTAGAGAGTCCACAGAACCTGAAGCTGCTTTGCCTGTGGAGAGCAGGTAGTCAAAAGTGCAGAGGTAATTTTATGGGAAATAAGGACCCTTACAATGAAGAGTATCATTTCTACTCCCTCTACCACCGTTTGTTTTTGGCAAGGTAGGATGATCATGTTGGTCTCAATGAGTGGGGACCTGTCCAAGGTAGGTTGCTTAATCTGTGAGTGGTTCAGGCATGCTTCGGACACGTGAAAAAGAAAGGGATGGAGACTGAGACAGGGGTTTGTGGTCAGGCTGCACTCATTACTGAGGACCTGGTACGCCAGTAGTAGAAAGGAACTTCTAGATTAGCTGAAAGACTAGAAACAAATTCCTGTCTTGTTTCTTTGACACACAAGATCTTTAAAAAGCCTTTATCTTTGAAGAAGTGGGCTTAAATCAGCATTTGAGTGCACTGGTGAAGAGGCATTCATTCGGGTGACAGCAGTGCTGTTGGGCTCTTGAGTATCTTTTCCTCTCCCTTGCCTTTAGGCTTTGCAATCCAAGTCTTCCTCTTCATTTGTCACCACTTCCCAGGTAGTGGGCACCTCCAGTATCATCTCGAACTACTCATGGCATATTTTGTCTCTCCTTGATATAGAGAAAAGAAGTTGAAGGCCAGAGTTCAAGAGCTGGTGAGTGCCTTGGAGAGACTTACCAAGAGCAGTGAAATCCGACATCAGCAATCTGCAGAGTTCGTGAATGATCTAAAGCGGGCCAACAGGTAAAAATCTCCCTATACCCAGCGCCCCCCACCTTCCCCCTGCAGTACTTACACTGACACCTGTTTGTAGACATAGCATCAGGGATGGACATTTCCCTAACTCCTGAGAACCAACTCTGGAGAGTAGGTGAGTCCCCGTCTGGCCGTCTTAGAGCAGCATCTCCCAAGATGTTCCAGAAACTAAGAAATGCTCAGTATCGACATCCCTTGGCCAAACGTGGCATACTGTGGTGTACTTCTCCTGATATTATATATCTTAAAGGTTCTGAGAAGTCATACAATAAAAAGTCTGTTTAAGCCAATATTTTCCAAACAAAATTGGCTATGGAATTGTTTTGAGCAATACAAAATCCATTGGAATACTTTAGGAAATGCTGCTCTAAGCCCAGGCTCAGGACTCTATAAAAAATGAAGGAACTTAAATAGTTTTTGTTAGAAACTGAAACCAAGATAAACTCAGTTTTTAATTCAGTTACAAAAAAAACCAAACACACTAGATGTAATACAAATGGCATTTTAATCAAAAACTATTTTCCCAGAAATGAGAAGAGTGGCACTGGTTTTGCAAATCTTTAATGTCTGGCTTAACAGAAGACAGCTGGGTTCTCACATTTGCTTCCGCAGTCAACAGTATGTGGATGTATATTGATAATACCTGGCATTATCCAGCTCTATAGTTGGAAATAAAAGCTCAAGACCTCACAGACCTCCTGAATGGGTTTTACAACTACCTGGGGGTGAGTCCTCAGACCACTAGGGAGAACTGCAGCTGTAGGGATAATGACTGTAGATGGACTGGACTTACGTGGGCTTACTGTATACCCTCTCCCACCAGACTCTGGTAGGGATAGTTCGAAGGCCTCTTTATTCCATGTCTGGCTTTGCAGCATTGGCTTATGGTCTAATTGAGTACTCTGAGTCCCACCAGCCCAAAGCATAAAGGGAAGTGGGAACAAGAACAACCGCTCTGCTCTCATCCCAGGTACAGTCACTTTGAGTGCAGTGCCTCAGGAACACTCTCCTGTAAGGTACGCTTGACTGTATTGCAAGCAACCATGGAGCAACAAATAGACCCACTCTCTGTTTTGGACTTGGCTGATCTGGATTGTTGGTTTGACTCTTAGAACCCCTTCTAATATGTGAGAGTGACCAGCCTCTAGAAGCTGGGCTTCATTCATCTTGGTGAAGCCAGTAGGTGACTGGCCATGAGTATTGATATCCTGGTGCTACCCCTCCTCTGACCACTAGGTATCAGATTCTTACTGAAGAGGCTGAGTGATCTTTCTTCAGAGCAGTGCTCACTAAAGCTGGTTATCCAGTGGACAGGACAGTGTGTCCCAATGCTACTTAGGATGAATATTCATCCTAATTTCCCTTCATTCCCAACTAGCAACCTGGTGGCTGCCTATGAGAAAGCAAAGAAGAAGCATCAAAACAAACTGAAGAAGTTGGAGTCTCAGATGATGGCCATGGTGGAGAGACATGAGACTCAAGTGAGGATGCTCAAGCAAAGAATAGCTCTGCTGGAGGAAGAGAACTCCAGGCCACACACCAATGAAACTTCACTGTAATCAGCACTCAGGCACCGGAGTTCTGCCCATGGGAGCTAAACCACAGCAGGCCACTGAGGACAGAAGGGCCCCTGGAGACAAAGTACTTGTTGGGAGGAGGAGGAAAGGGAAGGCTGGCAGGTAGGTCGGCACTTGGACAATGGAGTGGCCTAACTCAGTCTTTGGGGCAATTGGCCATAGTGACACTGTGGACTGTATCCAGAGGTGCCCGCTCTTCCTTCCCGGGCCCACAACAGCGTGTAAACACAAGCTCTGTGCCTGCTCAGCAGAACCTCGTTTCTGCTTTCAGCACTCACTCACCCTCCTCTTCTGGTCTGGCGTCTGTGCATCAGTGGAGTCTCAAGCATTTGTTTCTGTAAGATTTTCCATTCTATCCTCTTTCTGGTAGATGGTGGGCTTATCTTCTATCATCTCGTTTCTTCTCTTTCCTCCTGCTTCATGGGAAAACTGACACACAGACCTGTGTGTGCCTCCTGCATTTAAAAGGACTGCTGATTCGCTTACTGCAGCAAGGCTTTGGTTTTCAAGTCTCAGGACTCAACTTTAAGACGGAATCAGTCATAAGAGGCGTTCTCTGGGAGTTACAGGCCATGGGAAGAGGGTAGACAGGTGTTACTTACAGTCCCAGATACACTAAAGTTACAAGTAGACCGCCGCCAGGACTGTGCCTGAACAATTTTGTATTAAGAGAATAAAAATTTCCTTCAGCCTTCATTTTGGAAGCAGGGCTGGGAAGGGAGCGCTTTCTTGATTCTGGGATTTCTCCCTCTCAGTGGAGCCTTATTAATATCCAAGACTTAGAGCTGAAAATCTTTTTGATGCCTGTAGTGGAACAAAAATTTTATCAGGGGTTTCTTCAAGAGCAGAGAAGCATTATTAACACTTCCCGCCCCAGGGCACTACATAATTGCTGTTCTGCTGAATCAAATCTCTTCCACATGAGTACTTTTGTAGCTCTGGACCTGTCTCTACCTAAGGACAAGACACAGGAGATACTGAACATTTTACAAAACTGATCATGCCTACTTAAGAGTGCTGCTTAACCCCTGGTTCAAGACTTAGCTCCTGCTGTCATGTCAGGGACAGGGTAAGGGAATGGTTGCTAAGGCTTTTTTTTTTTTTTTTTTTTTGCCCCTAGATACATGATGATGGTTAGCATATGGTGCCTAAAAGGTTAAATTTCAAGCAAAATGCTGACAGGACTAAGCAGAACCAAAGTACTGTACCTGAATTCTTTCAGGGAGGTCTTCCATCTTAAATTCATTATTCTTTTTTTACTGTAACCTTCAGTTTTATCCCTTCTCCTTCAGTTCTATGCTGATACACTTAAAGGACCATTCCTGTTTTTCTGTAGCATCAGAGAATCCATCCAAAGTTCCCTATGAAAAATGTGTTTGAATGCCACAGTTGACTACAAATTAAACTTGATGAGGTTTTTGCAGTAGAATCTTTATGTCCATGAGCTATGGGTGGGTCTATTTTCAGAGCATGATACAAATTCCACAGCCTTCTGTTCAATGGAGGATAGACAGTTCTAAAAGCAACCACTGAGAGGCCAGGAGTGAGACTGCCCATCTCCAAACAAAACAAAAAATCAACTGGTTATCAGTCTGGAAGGATGACCTTTGGGGTGCTCTGATCACTGTGATAAATGCCCACTGGTGTCTATCAATCAATCATTTGGTCAAAGTTAGTTCCTATGATTTTTTTTTTTTGAGATGGAGTCTCACTCTCGTCACCCAGGCTGAAGTGCAGTGGTGCAAATGGTGTTATCTTGGCTCACTGCAACCTCTGCCTCCCAGGTTCAAGCAATTCTCCTGCCTCAGCCTCCTCAGTAGCTGGGATTACAGGCATTTGCCACCACACCTGGGTTATTTAAGTGTCTTTTTTTTTTTTAAGTAGAGACGGGGTTTCACCACGTTGGTCAGGCTAGTCTTAAACTCCTGACTGCAGGCAATCTACCCACCTTAGCCTCCCAAAGTGCTGGGATTACAGGCATGAGCCATCATGCCCTGCCACTGTTGTGATTTTTTAAAAATCAATTTTCATTTTTTGTATAAAGTTGCATTTTGTCACGAGGAAAATGTTTTGGCTGAAAAACATATGCCAAAAAAAAAAAAGTTTTCACCATTTTTCCAGCTTGCCTAATGAAATGTTCTCCCCTGAGCAAATTGGGGATGTACACGGCTTTCTCTTTTGTGATTAAGCAGGCATCAAATGGACAGTTTTCATTTTCACCAACGCAAGAATAAAATCCTGCCTACTGACTTCTGCCTCCATTCTTGCTCCAGGTAAAATCGGAGAACCTCCCTTTCTTGGCCCTGTAATTCCTCCAGGCAGAAGAGGCTTCAGCTCCTCTGTTAAGGGCCCCAGTGTTATGCATCCTACCTGACCTTAGTTTAATACTTTCAAATATGTGATGATTTGGGTAAAAACTATTTTGCAGGCAAAAGTGTTACTTTTATAAATATGTATAATAAAAAAGCTATGAAAGTTTTTCCTTTCCTTGTATTTTTCAAATACTCCCCAAGACATATTCCTTGAAGATGAACTAGTAGGCACTTGATTATGCTAATTGTGGGAGCTACTGTATACTGATTAAATAAATGCTTGCAGGTGCCTGGGTAATTTTCCTTTGTGTATAACCTGGCTCTACCTGAATTTTTCTCTAGGAGCTGTTTTACATTAACATCTCCATTGGGGGTAAACAACTTGATTCTAACTTACATGAAGTCAAAAACCTTCAGATCTCATATTTTGAATTGTTTTCTCTAGTTTCCTGAGTGGTTAACCGCCTCCCACCCCCTTTTAGTCAGTAACCATCTCTGTTCAGAGTTCAGTCTTTGACTTTTGGAGAAATGGGCACGGAGCAAAAGGACTTCCCACTGTGGAACTGAGGCAAACAAAACCAACTGCACAAATCACAAGCAAAAGAGACTTCTGTTCATAGAGTGCCATCAGTGTGTGAGCTTACCAGCTACAAAACCTGTCATGGACTGAGGAGCAGTAAGATTCCTTTTTGAAACTTGCATCACTCTCATCTGCTGGCTTGTCAGCTTTCTGAAGTTGATATCCACGCTGCCTGAAACTGAAATGTTAATTTAAAAAATTAAGTACCAGTTAAACATAATTCCATAATTCCTCCTTTCAGATGCATGGACTAAGTCTTCTGTAAGCTTGCAGCAAAATATTAAAGGGATCTCAGAGAGTTCTAAGTCAGAGCCTTGACATTCTACTCCAAAAGGCAGTCCAAATTAGAGCACATAGGCTTTTTCCTTAAAACTGTTAGGGAGTAGTAAGAAATTTACCACTCTAAGGAAAACATGAAACTATATGAAAGTCTTCTGGTTCCTAACTGGATAAATTATTTTAAATGAAGAAAGAAAAAAATGCCCATAGTTACCTGATCAAGATTGGACTGCCCATCACTGGCATGAATTAAAGAACCTCCATAGCTGCCTGTTTCCGTCCAAGGTATTCCTCCAGCCCACCGGAATTACCCAGCAATCACTTTTTAAGTCTATCAATCAGTCAACCTTAAAGCTCTCAAGAGTTTGAATTATTAAGCTTTTAAATAAATTGATATCAAGATAATAAAAAAAACCTAATTTCTGCAAGTATCCTTTCCTCCTTAAGTCTTTAAACCCTTTGCAAATTCTTAATTGGGAGTATGTCCCATTCATTCTATTAAACTATTTATAGCTCCACCTACTTCTAGAATCAGCAAACAGAACTATTAGAATATTTTTAGAGCCAGACAGTAAGAGACTTCTGTAATGGTTGAGATTTCTGCACTGACCTTGATTAGGGTACAGCCATAAGACTGCCAAAGTTTTTGGCAGGGGATGGAGAGGTGGAACATAAGTAACTTTTTTTCTGCAGAAGGTGATGGCTTTGTAGAACGCTATAAAAATTTTCAGAAAAACATTTAGCAGTTTTTCTTACCCAATGGGAACAGCCTATCTAACAAGGAATGATACAAGTTTGACTCACCTTTGAGCACTCTATAGAAGAGGCGTAACTGGTTATAAAACAAACAAAAATTATGCCTTCACTACCCAGTTCTTAAAGTTTATCTACGTCCTACAAATCTGAAAAGTTTATGAACCTGTGGCCTTCAGAAATAGCTCCTGTTTCACACACCTGAAATTACTGTCTAAGCTAATACATTTGTATTCTCTAAGAAATAATGCTGACCATTGTCACCGCAGCATCACTGATCTCTCAGTGGCTGTTAAAATATAAACAAGTGGAAAGGAGTACAAAAGTTGAATAGCAGCTGTTCATGTATTTTTGTTTTGCTAATACCTGTGTAGAGAGAGAGTTTCACATGCAGACCATTATACATTTTTGCTTAAGGGTTACACTGGGTAAATTCTCTGTCACATTACATTTGGGTGAGATTTTGCATGTGACCAAACAAAAACATCATTCAGTCCCAGAAACAGTAACTACTATGAAAAACCACATCCTTGACTAGTACCATCCGTCATCTTTCCATGGTCATTCATCTGCAAATCATATGAAATACCAGCTCAGCAGAACAAAGCAAGTTATATACAAAATTCCATGACCCCCTGCGAAACTGATCCCCTACTTAGTAATTCTTGCTCTACCACTTTTGCACTTTTTGCAAATCAAATTCATGTGGAAAAATGTTCTGTTTGTAGAACTCATAGTATTCACTTATAGTGCTCATGTCAGGACCGCCAAGTGAATAAGAGCCCCTGATAATCTGCTTTAGTTTGTACCTAATGCAAAGGTAGTAAGACATGTCCACTTCTTTTCTAGTTCTAATCAGTTTTTAGACATCTTGTCAAGACTTATTTACTTTGCATGAGATTTGTTTCCTATTATTTGAAAATGTGCTATACACTTGAATTAGAAAAACCTGCTTGAATGTATTGTCAGTTATTAAAGCACATGTGACTAAGTTTGCATTTGTCAGTATTGTTCTACTGTTTGTACTAAAAAGTCTCATTTTAAAATTGCTAAACACTGTACTATTCCTTGTAATTTTTTAGATTCTTCACTTGTACTCTTTAAATGTTTCCAGATGCCTTTAGCTTTAGCTGCTGTAAAATAGCTACTTTGCGTTATTTGATATAGAATTGTTTTTTTAAAACTCCATTTATTTATACAGAGACATTTATAATATTTTACGAACATTCTTATATTCTGAATAAATATTTCTAATTCCATGGTGTACCTTAACTGTGTTAATTAAAGGGTAAGGCTATCCTTCTGTAGAACTGTTTGCCATACAGGCATATCAAATCCATGATGCTTCCATGAAATCAAGAGCCCTAGTCAAAGCAGAGGCACTAGAAGAAAGACTTTATTAGATCAAAATGGACAAGAAATCTCATTTATAGCCCATTTTTATTTGGCTACTTTTTCATATTTGGTGTAACTAGGAAGTTACCTATTGAAGAGTCTTTCCCCCTCTTTAAAGATCATTAAAACAAGGAATGTAATCAAGGACTGGAAGTGCAAGGAAGTACAGGACAAGAAGATGGCAAGCAGCTTTGCAACATGTCTGTTACAGAAAGATACAATGTTGTCAAGCTGTCACTATGGAAGCAAAGTACCTCTGACAGTAAGTATAACACCCTGGTCACTCCCCTTTTGAAAATTTTAAAAAAAAATTACTGTCATAGAGCTGAGGTCTCTGATGGAAAAGAATGTATTTCTTTCTCGAGCCAATGTTAGGTATTCCTATTGCAAAACCTGATTCTATCACAAACTTAAGAATTGCTGGATTTTAAATACCTAATTAATTCACATCTCTAGCCATACACAATAATCTTGCTTTAAAGCAACAAACTTGTTTGAAGTATTTTCATTTTTTCAGAGACTCTGTACTTCTTTTTAATATTTCTTCCTGTTACACATACTTTTATTATGTTCATCTCATACTTGACATTTTTTATTGGTCCAAAGAGACAGCAACCACAATGAGCAACTCAGAACCTATGATAACAAGTAACAGTAGCAGAAACCAGACTAAGGTAGTGTAACTAAAACTGCCCAAGCAGCCAATTTTATTGATATTACATTACAGTCTAACACAATGTTTTTTTACAGAAAGCCAAGATGTGAACAATCTTCCATCATTCAAACTGTATTTTGTAAGATTAGTTTTTAACCTAGTATTATTTACATCAAAAAGCTTTCAAAAAGAGCATAACTGTTAAGACATAGGATTTTGTTCATTTTCTCAGTGGAGAGTATAGAGTACAGCTGACATTCTAGTGGGTCTTTGGAAGTACAGTAATCCTGCAAACATTTAAACTCCAATTCACATACGTGAATCACTGGAAATCCTTTGATAGTCATACCCAACAAGAGAGGTAAAGTCAGTCAGTCTTTATCCTTTCATTAATACTGAGGAAAAAAAACAAAGTTGCTGTCCAACTACACCACCATAAATCCAGAAACACA